GGCAAAGCCTGTATAGTAAATTGACCAAGGATGATCATTTATATCCTTTTAAGCATTTTTAAATGTTTGTTGAGCCAAGGAGAATTATTCCACAGGAAGAGGTTAATGAATCATCCATCATAGGGTGTATAGTCTGGCCTTGAGATATGCTACAGCAAGCATGTCAAACTCGCGGCCTAAACGAGGCATGTGGCCCGCCAGCCGCGGGTTTGACATGCTTGTGCTACAGGGACTGACTGGTTTAGGAAAGTCAAACTCGTCCTTGGTCTAGTCCTGGGCTCAAACCTTCCATGAGGGTCCATTTTTTCCCCAGGCTTCATTCATGGTCATTCTTCCGCTGTCTTTATGGGAAAGAATAAATATGGGACATGCAATCAAATTAAAAGCCTGAAAATACCTTCCCACGGCTCATGCTTTTTGGAGTCATACAGGTAGAGAGCCAAAGACAGCATGTTAAGGCTTCCAGGCAAAGGGAAAACTCCCACCCACCCAACCCAGATGCAGAACGACCCTAAGAGAGCAAGGCGGAGAGAAACATGTGAGAACGAAAGGATCACGTGGTTCATAGGAACACATATTCCTCAGCTTCAAAGAAACCCACGCGCTTCTGTTACCTTGGGGGGTTTTCTCATAAAAGGTTTGGAAGAGAATGTACTGACCGATCCACACACGGTGTCAAATTTGGGAAATTCTGTGATGCCCCGTGGGTATCTGGACTAGACACGAAGAAGCTAAAGCATCGGTCACTGAGGGAACTGAGGGCCATGGAAGATGCTAGAAGGTATCTCTGGAGAAACCCAGCTGTTAGGTGAATTAGGCCATCTGTTCTGGGGAAGGACTTCAAGACATTTTCCAGCCGGGAGCTTTCAAAGGCAGAATAAGTATTTCCTTTTGCCTGTATGGTCAAGACATACTGCCATGAAATTTTTAAGAAATAAATAAAATTAAAAAGTAAAGCTCATCCTTGCTTCATTCGTTCACTCATTCATCCCGTAATTAGTAAAGCACCTACCTCGTTAAAGTGCTGTCTGAGGTGCTGGAGAGGTGACAAGTGTTTAGGAATATGAAATACAGTTCAGTGGGAGGAAGCTTTGGTCTCAGCAAAACCTGGATTCAAACACAAGCTGGACTAGGGGTGTCGCTTTGAACAAGTCTTTTCACCTCTCTAAGCCTCCATTTCCTTTTTTCAAAAGAGCTTTCTTGAGATGTAACTCACACACCAAGCAGCCCCCTCACTGAAAGTTCGCTGCATGTAGCTCACTGAGCTGTTTAGGATGTTCGAAGCCGACACCACACCCTCATCATGGAGCATTTTCATACCCCTAATAGGCTGACGTACACAATAGCAGTCCCTCCCCATCAACTTCCTTTTCTGGGGGGAAAAATGGGGGGCAGAGGGCAGGGAGTACCTAGCTGATAGGCCTGTTACAAAAAATAAATAAAATACATCCAAGCATCCAGCCTGGCCCTCGACAGGGACTCATCACATGTCATTCAAGTAAACGTCAAGGCAAAATCTCACAGAAAGAAGCAAAAAGACCAGCTACGCTAAGCAAGTGTCAGAGGGGGGCAAGTCCATCCCAGCACCCAGGAATATACTCCGGTTCCCATCCTCGGAGCATATCCCACAAGCCACGGTCTCCCTCTAATGCTCCTGAATACAGAAAAATCAGGTATGCAGCCCAAAAGCCCGCTTTTTGGCCCGGCCGGCGTGGCTCAGTGGTTGACCGTCAACCTATGATCCAGGAGGTCACTGGGTTCTTTTCCTGGTCAGGGCACATGCCCAGGTCGGGGACTCGATCCCCAGTGGGGAGCGTGCAGGAGGCAGCCGATCAATGATTCTCTCTCATCATTGATGTTTCTCTCTCTCTCCCTCTGCCTCCCTCTCTGAAATCAATTTTTAAAAAGTGTGTATATATATATTTAAAGCCCACTTTTGAAAACGTCAGCATTTGGGGGCAGAGTTTGGGAGAGAGTTTCTGGAGAAGAGATACACACTCAAGCCTGCAGCGAGCGAGCAGCGAGAGCGACCGGAGCCACTGCCGAGAGGGGAGGACCCCGTGGGCTCCCACTGGACGCGCCGCCGGGGAGACCATCCTGCCGCGTATCCACTTTTCAAGGGAAAACAGACGTGAGGGGTGCTCATCTGGCTGCGGGAGCGCTTTCCCTGGAAACAGCAATTCCTGGAGCTCGCTGCCAACCACCCGGGTTATAACTTACCGGTGCTTCTGTCTCATTCCCCGGCCTCGGCAGAGAGCAGAGCGTGGCCCCTAAGTTTCACGGCCCGGGAGAGGCAATAAAGCACAATTACGCAGAATTTATGATTAGGCCGTAAATTATAGGCGCTTTTTACTTCGGTTGGCGGCCAGAGCTCGGGGGGAGGAAGGGGACGGGGTTAGAGGGAAGCAACAAAGGGCTTTTTCGGGGAACGCAATGCCTGAGTGGGGCAGGGTTGAGGACCAGGTTTCACCGGCGGGTTTACTGAGATGCCACCGTCTCAGAGGGGAGTCCCAGGGGCCTCTGTTCCTCCTGCTCGTGGGGCTGGGGATGCCCGCCAGCGTGCTCCTGGTGACCCCAAAACAGAGCACGGTGCATTTTCAGGCCATGGCACAGCCTGGCCCACAGCCCCAGGTCCTGCTGCTCCAAGCCAGGGAGGTTCAGAGCCGGACACCTCGCATACAGGACACTCCTGACCGAGCTCTATGAGTAACTCGGCCGCAACCAAGGTGTGGGGCGTGCAGAAGGCAGCCGATCCATGCTTCTCTCTCATCACTGATGTTTCTGTCTCTCTCTCCCTCTCCCTTCCTCTCTGAAATCAATAAAAATATGTATTTTTTAAAAAGATTTACCTTTCTTGTGGCTCCTTTATGTGCTATGAAAACTTACACTTGGGATAGTGAGGTGCAAAGCTGGCAAAACTCGGGCGCAGAGCAGGATGGGGACACAAGGTCCGACACCTGCTGGCCTCCTTGGTTCTCCAAGAACTCCTCCCGGGTCCCAGTCTCCCCGAGTCCCCACATGTCAATCGCAGTGTGCAGAGCACGGCCCCGGACATGGCGTCCAGCCTCTCTAGCACCCTGGCAGCGAGGACCCGGCACCAGTGTGACGGGGGAGACTGAGGCTCCGAGAGGGGCTCACAGTGACGACCCCACAGAGGGCGCAGGGAGTAGGGGACCCGCCCCCCAACGGGACATCTCCGGGCCTTTGCACGATTTCACCCCAGCCGGTGGGTGCGGCAAAGCAAAACCAAAAAAAGAAAGAGTCCGTGTTTCGGTGGGTTTTGCATTTTGCTCTTTTTCTGCGGTGGAATTTTTACTGGGCAACTGAAGCTGCCAAGTAGCCGATCGTCACAGTGACAACAGGTATCTGAAAGTGAAATACAGTTGGATTTAAGGAAACACGGGAGACAGGCTAGAACGGAGTCATGACTAGTGACAGGTAAATAGTAGTAATAATAAATTCGGGGGGCGGGGGGGTGTTAGCCCTGACTGTTTACCTAGCACTCGCCTTTGTCCTAAAACATCCCAGCCCCACGCCCGGCTCCTGGTTAAGTAACTTAATTGGGCCGATGTCCCTTGAACTGTATAATCTGTCCCACACAAAAACAAACCCACGGAGTGCCTCAGAGCCGCTCTAAGCCCCTAAGTCCCGGGCTACATGCCGTCTATGGAAAACAGCTGTGCCGAGTAAATCACCCTGCCCCGGCCAAGCCCGGAGCCTATTTATCCCCCTCTCTAAGTGTGTTTTGAAGTCCTGGTTGGAAAATTAGTGAAAACTGTAAATCTGTTTGCAAATCTGGTCATGTCTAACTCCGAGATTAGGGCAGAGATTCCGATTTCAAAGTGAAACCGTGACAACTCCAGTTAAGCGTGTCCTCGGGCACCGCCGGCGGGGCCTTCGCTCACCCGCGCGGGCGCTGGATTTATTGCAGGCACCCGACGCGCGCCCCATCAGACACCCCCCGAGTATTGACTTGAGACAGCAGGGCTCGGCCTGTACTTCCTCTGCAGACCAATATATTATTATAAATTGAGCTAAACTGTTCCCTTTTCATAAGGGCTATGGAGTTCAGATTTCAGATATCAGCGCGGGCTCAGGTCCCTGCGCGGGGCTCCTGGTAGGATATGGACTGTGCAAATGCAGAAAAGAGGGAGCATGTGACCACGGTTGCGTGTTTGTTTGCTGCGGTGGTTTTGTTTAAGAAGAGTTGGAGGAAAATTCTGGGTACAAATTCAATATGATATCTTAACAAGAAAATATGTTCTAGATGCAAGCCTTGGGTACCTCGTGCTGTGCTTGGCCTAGGTCAGGAGGGACCAGCTGCCTCTCCATATCTGAAGCCAGGAGTTTCTGAAGTCAGGATTAGATATTATGTCTTGGCTATGAGCTTCTGTAAAATAACACTTCTTCTATCCATCGGCTACCAGGACCCAATGTATATTTTTAAATGCATATGCATTATAACACAGAAGTCAAAAGGACAATGGGATTATTTAATATTTTCATTATTAACCTGCTTCTCAGGCAAGAATAAAAAACAACACATCACTTTTAAAAGAAATGGAAAAGAAAGAGGCAAATGGACCACTGGCATTGCCTTCTTTTGTTCCCCTCTCAAACAATTTAGCCCTAGAACCTTTGGGGCATGGGCACCACGCTGGGGGAGGGAGCGGAGGGCACCGAAGCCCAAAGCAGGGGTCAGGAGGGAGGAGGGATGGCCCGACCTGCAGTGACAGAGCTCAAGTGGGATAAAATGACTATGTCCAGTCCATGCTTCTTACTAGCTGTACTAGTAACCACATCAACCTAACCTTAAGTTTTGTTTTTCTGTTGTTGTGGGGTTTTTTTGGCAATATTGCTAAGATCTACTTCTTAGGCTTACTGAGAGGACTGAAGGAATGATTGATTTGCTATTAGTCCCCAGTAAATGTGGTTGTTATTCACACACTGCTATCGTTCCAGACCTATGTATGTAAAGAAAAAAGACTAAAAAGGCATATACTGAAACAGGCATGGGCCTGATTATTACGGTCTTCTTTCTTAGATCCATGTTCAGCAAGTGCAGGGATCAGCCCGGAAGGAGAATTTAGGAGGGAAAGGGACACCACATGAAGTACCAGGGAACCCCATTGTGAGGAGGTCATTCCCTCCGGAAAGATCTCCCCCTCCCACTGCTGACATCCGGGCGAGTCTCTGGAAGGGGCCCTTACATAGTGCACTCCTCTCTTACAGTTACTCACCTCCCTTTACAAGACAGAACAGGACTCAGACTCAGGATCCTCAGCACAAAAAAAAAAGGAGCAGACACAATACTGTTTACTTTATAGAGGACTCAGACTCAGGATCCTCAGCACAAAAAAACAAAGGAGCAGACACAGTACTGTTTACTTTATAGAGTCATGAAACTTTCAAATTATGCCAAATGATATTGGCTTCCCATTAAAATGGTAATATAAAACTTCCCACTAAAATAAATTCATTCCAGTAAAGAAAAAAAAAGTGAGTTCATTTAGAGAGAAACATTATATAAGTGAGAGTAAGGGAGAGCGCAGATATGGCAAGAACCCCAGAGGTGGTGTGCGAATGACTGAAATTTGGGAAATATGGCCTAGAGAGCTATTGCAAATGTGAATTCCTAGAAGCAAGGACCAAGGTTTACCCATCTGCAGTGTCCCCTCCGGAACCTTGAGCAGCATGTAGAACATAGTGGGCCCTCTGCAAATACTCCATTCACTGGGTAATAATTGGATCATAAATGCTAGGTTGGGACCATGCCGCTTCCTGACCCTGTTACCAGCACATGAGTAGATGCCCCAGCAGGTAAGTGCGAGATAAACCCAAAATAAACAGGAGCTACGGCCAAGGAGAGAATAAACCTTAAGAAGCTTTAGGAGTCCATGAAAAACAGGTAGCATGCTCAGGAACAAAACACGACACGTAGAGCAAAGAAGCAAAAACAAAGCTCCCCAAACTGCACGGCTTTGGTTCGCTTAACCACGGCTGAAATACTGTGTCCAGAAATACTAGAGGACAAGTGCGGAGACAGGCCACACTGTCAGGTCAGCTGCTCCTAAGAATAAACCAAATTCAAAACTGGAATAAAAAAAACATGCTCACTAAGAACTTATATAGACAGGGACAACTATATATAAGAACCTGATATGCAAATTATCCCCTTGGGAGTTCGATCGCTCGCTATGACGTGAGCTGACCACCAGGGGACAGCACGGAACGAAGGCAGGCCCCGGCCGGCAGCCAGAAGGCCCCGATCGGCCCTGATCACTGGCCAGGCCTAGGGACCCTACCCGTGTATGAATTTTGTGCACCAGGCCTCTAGTCATTTTATAACTTCACAGTGGATTTATTTAGGTGATTTAGTGGCTCTGATGAAGACTCCTGAAAAGTGTTCGGAACATTTGTGGAACTCCAGTAACATGGAGAAGGAAAAGTGACTTTTAAAAATCAGCAGTATCTCAAAAAAAAAAAAACACCAAATAAACAAACTAGTTACATGTGTAAGTTTCCTTTTCACTATAAAATACGTAAAAGGCAAAAGACATTCAAAATATGTACCCGATGACGTAAAACTTAGACAACAGAGCATCAATGTGGCTCAGTCCTCCTAATTACCGAGCATAAAGTAGCAGTCTCCCTGGTGAAGGGGTATCGCCAAACCCGGTGTCTCTATGTCCCAGGAGATCTTGAAACCAACGTGCCAGGTGTCAGGATCTCTGCCTTCGAGGGGAGAGTCCTCCTCGCTGTCCTCTTCCGGGCCTGTCGAAAGACACGGGGTGATCAGAGAGGAGGGGTTTCAAACACCTGAGGTTCTGGGGGCCATAGCAGTTATCTCAGGAGTAAGTGAAATCTGAATGAAAATATCTTCCTTTTATATCACATTTTTAAAGACACACATTCTTTAGGACGTTTTTAGCGTCATTTATTTTTTCATCAAAAAACTTTAACCACATATATCAAGGGGAGAAAGATTATTTTGTTAAATTCCCTGCAAATAGGTGAGAAAAAATCTAGATCAAATGGTTAGTTTTTAGGGATAAATAAATAACCAAAGCCACCCCAGAAGAGATAGAAAAGCTAAACAAGACAGAAGATAGAGAGGAAATTGTCCAAGAACCCTCTCTCAGGAAAACACAGGCCCTAGAGAATTACAAAGGAGAATACTACCACACAATGAAGGCGTGAGTAATTTCAATACACTTTAAATTGTTTAAGAGCATAGAAAGAGAAGTTTCCAAATTCTTTCCATGTAGATAGAATAGTATCAAAATCCAACACACACACACACACACACACACACACACACACACACACACATCTAGTCTCATATCTGAAAATCAATGCAAAATTCCTAAGTATAACATAAGAAAACAGAATTCAAATCCAGCAGCACATGAGAAGAATAACGGTCCAGAACCAAGTAGTACTAACTGCAGGAATACAAGGATAGTTCAATATGCACAAAGTTATATCTAAAATTAATCACATTCATAAATGGGGGGGAAATCATGTCACCAGAGATATACAAATGTACTCAACAAACTATATCTTTCATAATGAAAACCTCAATTAAATAGATATAGGTGGCTAGTTTCTTAACATGATAAAATATGAAGCTACTCAACCTCAAAGCCAGCATCGTATTTTAAAAGGGAAACATTAGAAACATTCCCAAAGTTAGGAATTAGAAGACAATATCCTTTAACACCACAACGATTCATCATTATTCTGGAAGGAATGGCCCACACAACGGTGCCTCTGGAGTGGCATAATAGAGGAGCCCCAATTAGACACAAAAAGGGGTGAAATATGTTTTAATAAGAAAAATATTCTTGTGTAAATGGTATGATTATTTATCTGCAAATCAACCTGGAAAATATATCCCAAGCAACAGGCAAATTAAGAAAATGCTAGCTACAAAGAGTGTATATAAAAATATCCTAGTTTACACGTGCATTGTCTATATGAAGAAAAACTTTAAAATATTATTAAAGGACACAAAAGAATATTTAAACAAATATGATGACATACTGTTTTCTTAGGAAATGAGACTAAACATCATGGAAATGTAAGTTCTCCCCTAAATTCGTCTATAAATTTGACACAAATACAATAAAATAAAATAAAATACCAACAGGACTGATTTTTAGATGAATGGGGTTGGTAACTAAGTAAGCTGATTAAACAATTCACATGAAAACATAAGTAAGCAGGTGTCACCAACTCTCTAAGCATCAATAGGATAAACATCGATTGCCAAATAGAATAATGGGTGAAAGTCATGAAGATAAACCCCATAAAAGGAGATAAAATGAGTTTATAGCCCTGACCGGTTTGGCTCAGTGGATAGAGAGTTGGCCTGCGGACTCAAGGGTCCTGAATTCAATTCCAGTCAAGGGCATGTACCTTGGTTGCAGGCACAGACCCAGTAGGGAGTGTGCAGGAGGCAGCTGATCAATGTTTCTCTCTCATTGATGTTTCTAACTCTCTATCCCGCTCCCTTCCTCTCTGTAAAAAATCAATAAAATATATTTTTTTTAAAAATGAGTTTGTAAACATCAAAAAGACATTCAAACTTATTCACGTCAGTTCAAATTAAAGCCCCAGTAGGTGCTTTTCACCTATCAGATCAGAAAGTATCAAACACTGTGATAAAGTATGGTTCTAGCAAAATGGCACATGCCTACCCTCTGTAGAGGACAATTTGACAATCAAAATTACAAACACAGAAGCCCTTTGAACTTAGAGGAGCCCCGCAATTCCCCTTTTATGAATATAAGCTAACATTTCTACATGCAGAGATTGCAAGGCGACTTCTGAGCAAGGACATATATTTCAGCGGTGTTCATAAGAGCAAAAAATCAGAAATAACTTCATATCCATCCTTAGGTTTCTGTCCCTCTCTGGTCAAATCAACCATAACTCAACTTCCAAAAAGGTGATTTAAGCTCCAAAGACAGCGATTTTCAGGGGGTTTTCCTACCGCGGAAAAAGGTCATTCTCCTAAGTGGTCATCTTGATAGGCTGACAGGCTGGCTGGCCGCTGGCCCCTCTCCCTCTCACCCTCACACTCTCCTCAGTGTGGCACCAATAAAGTCCTGAGCGCCCAGCAGAGACGGTAATTGGCCATCAGCGTTCCCCGATGTCTCCCATAAATCCAGCACCTCCCAAATGTGCTCATTAAAATACTGTTCCGCTGAAACTTTGGTTCCCCCTGGGGCGGGGGCGGGAGGAGGGCCCCTGTCGGTCTGATACATTTTTTTATTGTGTCAGTATAATGTTGCTCGCTTTCTCAATAAAACCCACTTGCAATTACCTATAGCAACTGCGAGCCAGGACTCTGCCCCCTGTTATTGTGGAAACGGGCGGAGGCGATAGGCTGCTACTTGCCTTGAAGCCTCCGTAACACGGAGAGGATTGTAAGGGTCTCAGGGTGTGTGCTGCATTCCCAGCTCCCTCCCACGAAGGTCCAAATAAAATTTTAAAAAAAAAAATTTTGTATCAGGCGCAGTTTAAATGTAAGTTTTTAATATCTAACACTCGCCCCTCCCCCAACGAATCAATTTGATTTTTTTTATGCCACATCGTGTTTAGAAAAAATTAGCTCCACTTTAATAAAAGGTGTATGTCGTCAAATATGTTGCCAGTTTTAAAAGCTAAATGCAGCCACTGTTACGCAGGAAACTAAGAGGCCGGAGCAGGAAGGAAGAGATGACAGTTCTAATCAAAATATATCGCTTGGATTTTCGTACCACATTTCATAATAACACCATTAATATTGTATGTCCATGTTCCCCTGGCATGTAAGGACATATTCATCATCGCCACACATTAACAAAATAGGCCTGTTCCCTTGGCCGAGCGCTAAGATTTCTAAGGCTTTGGCCCTGCCAATCATTTTCTCTGCTCCCTGAGCCCCACACCCAGACAGGCTGAGGAAGCAGGTCCCTTCCTATCCCCGTCACAGATCCCAGGGCAGGAGAGACCGGGAAGTCACATGTGGTCAGCTGGTCTATGAAGCTTAATGATGCTTTCCGTGCCCAGGGCTCACCTATGACATCCCAGTGTCTGGGATGGGGAACCTGTGTTGTTTTATTAATTTATTTTTTTCATTTTAGTTGAAACACAATCTTATATTGGTTATATTGGTTTCAGGTGCACGATACAGTGATCTAACAGTTGTATATCTTAAATTGTGATCAACCCACAAATTCTAGTAATCATCGGTCAGCACGGACACTTCTCACATTATTGAGTTCAGTCCCCTTCCCCCTTCCCCCATCCCCTCAGCCCCACCCTTCCCGTAACCATCCCTCTGGTCTCTGTTTCTATGAGTCTGTTCTTGTTTTGTTGGTTTGCATTGTTTTTAGATTCCAGGAATCTGTGTTGTAAAATGGAGGGAGACAGAAGGTGAAATGGGAAGGTGTGAGGTTGGGAGGACACAGGAGGAGGGGAAGGCAGGTGGGTGCACAAGACCATCATCGATGCTGCCCGGCCGGCGTGGCTCAGTGGTTGAGCATTGACCTATGAACCAGGGAGGTCACAGTTCGATTCCCAGTCAGGGTACATGCCCGGGTTGTGGGCTCGATCCCCTGTGGGGAAGTGCAGGAGGCAGCCAATCAATGATTCTCTCTGACGATTGATGTTTCTATCTCTCTCTCCTTCTCCCTTCCTCTCTGAAATCAATAAACATATATTTTTTTAAAAAATTCTACACGAGAACATCATGGATGCTGAGCTGCAGAGGCATCACATGCACCCATGGATTCGCAAGAGGAGAGGTGGGAGAGGCGGGGGCCTGGGGGGCCTGGAGGGCCTGGAGGGCTGTGGATGCAGGAGGGATCTAGCCTCCCACTGCGGGCAGCGGAAGACGCTCACACCTCCCGGTACATCAGGGCTGCTGTTCGGACCGATCTGGGAGGGCAGAAGCCTCCGTGGGCAGACCTTGTGTACTTTTTCTGCACAGGGTTCCAAAGTGAAAATGGAGAACTCGGGTAAGTGTGAAGGGAAAAGGGAACGAGACCCAGTCAGTCCCAGCTCAGAACCGACAACCGGAAGCTGCTCTCGGGGGCCTCGAAGGAGCGAAGCAGGACACACTTTTCACCCCGTCACCCCGTCACTTCTGCGCAGGAGGCACGGCCCCGCCTCCCCTTCTTTTCCTCTTTGGCCCTTCATGGGAAACCGAGAAATTAGTGCCAAGAATCTGCAATGTCTGGCAACCTGGCCATTAAATTCAGAATTGTTTTCCCTAGAAAGACAGAGTCACAGAAGATGTCCTTCCAAGGAACGGAAATGGTGAGTAACCAATCGTTATTGTGTGTCAGCGACCTTTTTCTCGGGGCGTTCCCGCCAGGAACAAGGGGTAGGGCCGTCTGAAACGATGGGTCTCTAACACCTTCCCTGCGAACGTATAGACCCTGGTGACACGGGTGACTGCCGGCAGAGCTAGAATAGAAAAATCAAATACTCTGTCTATTTACACATGGCTCCCCAAAGCCACTCCTGATTAAAACTTGTACCATTTCAATCTTCCCACCGGAGAGATCTATTAACTAGGGCTGCTTGGGAAGCCAGTGAATTTAGGGTATAATTACACGGATCCTAGACAAATTACTTCTCAATGACCCCTAGACACGGAGCTAAACCGAAGAGGGGCGGCCGGCTCATTGTAAACGTACACGGAGGCTTCACTGGGAAAAGGTATTGGGAGCAAAGCCCGGAAAGACCCGCAGCGTCCCCTGGATTAACTTCAGCGGGAAGGGCCGCTTCTTTTCTGAACTCCCTCTTCTTTTCTGAACCTTCCCCGCGGCACCTAACGCCCTCGCGGCACTGAGTAACCGTGTGACCCTGGACAGGCCACGTCCCTTCTCCCACCTCCATGTTCTCATCGGCGGGATGAGAGGCTTCGGCCAGGTGACTTCCAAAGACCCTCCCAGAGCAGATGCTCGGTCCTTCCGTCATTATGGTCCCCAGAGCACACCTCCCCTCACCTGTCCTCTCAAGGCCAGAGGGGCATCTGACCTACCTTTGGAGTCTCCGTAGCTTCTAGAACAGAACTTCCCTTCGCAGACGCTCAGCGAACAAGTTCCAGGGCACGGAAGGCAGTGCAGTTGCCTGAAACATCTGCTCTTGGCCCTTCTGAGCCCTCCCGAACCCCAAACATGATTTTAGCCTAAATGGCTCTCCTGGAGTGCACCATAACGTGCCTCTGGCAGGCGTCTAAGGAGGCCAGAGAACTAAGCGTGTCGCCTGTCACCTGGAAGAAGTCACTTGAGAGAAATGCACCATCACAAAGTTTCAAGGCACGTGAGTTGCCAACCACCTGACCCGACAGCGTGCATGTGGCCAGAGGCCTTGAGAAAGGTTCCGCTGCACAGAGCTGATGCATTCTGCTCACCCAGAGCCCGTGCAGACAGATGCTGTGGGGGGAGAGAAGTGAGGCTATCAGGACCTCCAAGGAAGAGTGAGGAGAACATTCCCTTAACCTGTCCAGAGGTGGGCTTTTTTAAAATATATTTTTATTGATGTCAGAGAGGAAAGGAGAGGGAGAGAGATAGAAACATCAATGATTAGAGAGAATCATTGATCAGCTGGCTCCCGCACTCCCCTACTGGGGATCGAGCCCAAAACCCGGGCATGTGCCCTGACCAGGAATCGAACCTGGGACTTAGGCTGACGCTCTATCCACTGGAGCCAAACCAACTAGGGCGAGGGGGACATTTAAAAAACCCGATCCCAGAGATAGCTACACTGCGGGGACAGGAAATGCTTATAAGGCATTTGGCCAAAGCTGTAAGGCTCTGAAGCCGAAGTGCCTACGTTGCAATCCGAGCTCTACTCATTCGTAGCTGTGTAGCCGTGCAAAAGCGAACCATCCTTCTTGCCTCCGTTTCCTTGCCTGTAAAATGATGAGAGCAGTACTTTGCCCATGGCGTTGTTGTAAAAATCGAATGAGCTAATACACATAAAATGCTTACACCAGCCGGCACATAGTAGGTGCCCCATAAAGGAGAGCTCCTGGTATTGCTGTTATTGTTAGAGAGACTTCGGGGAGGTTCCAAATCTGCAGTTCCCTCCTCCCGGGGATAACCGCAGGACAAACCTGTATCTATTCATGTGTCTGAATAAATAGACCTGTATCTTGGACAAACCTTGATCTATTTATTTAGACACATAAATAGATAAAGGCACTTGATCAGTCTTCACTACTCCCGACCACAGGAGCTATTCATTAAACATTTAAATTCCTTTCTGAGAGATATTCTAGATTTCAGAAACCGCTCGGTCACCCACACTCTGGGAGGACAATGGGACTATTAAGCTGCGGGGCGGACCGGGCCGGGAGCACAAAGACACCTTTGTGGCCGCTGGGCCACCACACACCACTGCCTCCCTCTCAGAGCACGGCCTCCTCAGGAAAGACACGAACAGCCTCCACGGTTGGCTCGCATCAGAGTTCGTGGATGCCATAGTTCCTAAGGCCCTGGCAGGGCCTTCTTAAAGAGCAGCGGGTCCCAGTTCCTCCCAGGAGGGCAGCATGAACTCCCCCGGGAGCAAGTGTCTAGGGGCCGCATCATTCATTCTTCAGGACGCCAAGGCAGCCGGTGAAATTTCCAACCACAGAACCGGTCCCTTATTTCAGGCCGCAGGCACCAGGGAAAGTTAGAAATAGTGTGGCGATCCTGAGGGGTATTCTGCGACGGGGGAATGGTAAGAAATTTAAAGACAGCCGTGGGAATTTCTTTTTCAAATCCCCTTTTCCAAAAGTCATTTTAGTATTAAAAAATAATAACTAACAACCACCACCAGATCCAATCAAACGGTTGCCAGAAACAGTGACCCTTAAAAGTTCCAGTTCATTCCCTCAGGCGACATCTAGAACTCTGGTTCTCCAAGCACCTTTCAATACACAAAGAAAAGACACCAACAAGCAAGCAAGCGAAACTGAGGTCTTGTAGCCCTTTGTCACGTGATCAGGCGGATAAGAAGGTTGGCAGTGGTCACGCTGGGTCACAGAGTCAACTACCTTTTTAATAGTCCTGTTCTGGAAACCAACAGAGGCCCTAAAGACCCAGAAACTGAACAACAGGAGGAAAATCAGGGTGGGCCACACACAAAATGTAGCCTCTGGTCTGTGTTCTGGGGGGACCAGACTTCAGGAAGTGCTAGAACAAGTTTGCCACATGCACCCTAGGAGGTCTAAACCCGCAGAAGGGATGAGGTGGGGGTGGGGGTGAGGGCGGGGGGCTAGAGCGTTTCCTGAACAGTGAGGACTGCCTGCTTACAGAGCCCACCTCGCTGGCGTCTGCAAGGAAGGGCAGGACTCGGAACGGGATGAAGCCAAGAACAGGTCCCTATTTGACAAGACAGTGATGTCAACCATAATAAAACATTTTGGCGAGACGGGACATGTGCACCTGGGGGAACCTGCAAAGGCTTGACAGCTTTTGCTTTTCCCAGCCCTTTCTATCAGCAAGTTAATTAGAGCAACTGTACAATCTACTCTGGGCTTTAGACAAAGGCACCTGGCTCTCCGGGGGCACGGGAGGGACGAAATGACAGCTGTGCTGCCACGCGACCACATCCTCTCTGTGCACAGGGTGACAGGGAACCAGACAGCACAGCTGTATCCTGCAGGTACGTGGCTGTGGCCAACCTAAAGAGGACACACACACACACACACACACACACACACAACACACGCAACACCGGGGACCACACACATACAAACCCAAGTGCACAAACCCGTGAGCACACCCACGGGCCGGTCCAGAGCCTGCCCAGCTCCGGTCCTGCCCGCCTCGGGGCCGCGTGTCCCCTGCGCGGACCGTACCTTCGCAGCTGTGACTGTACACGGCCACCGCCGACCTGTCCACCAGGTTCTCGTCGTGGTGCCAGCTCACCGCCATCTTCCCCATGCCAAAATAAGGCTCCTCCTTCAGGTAGGGCATTTTCTGGGGATCCATGAAGTTCAGCAAGGTCACGTTGTACGCAGACCTGCTCCGGATGTCCGCTTCGTCCGGCCCGTCGAAGATCCCCAGGCCGAAGTCAGGACCGATGCACACGGGCACCTCGTCGATGTTCGCTCTCTCTTTGGCAACCAGCTCCTCCCAGGCCTGGACGGTCTCCAGCTGCAGGTAGCTGTTGAGGCTGAGGAGGGTCTGACAGGCGGTGGCGACCTCCGCCTCGTGGTAGGTGATGTTGGAGCCGCGCACGGGCCAGGGCACCGCGAAGAGCCGGGTGCTCAGGTACTTGTAGGTGCAGCCCGGGTTGCCGATGAGGAGGCGCGCGACCGGCGTGAGCAGGTCTTTGCCTTGGACCCTCACCAGGTCCCGGGCCAGGCAGCCGTGCTTGTGCAGCGTGGCGAAGGCCGCCTGCACCTCTCGGTGCAGCTCCTCGGGCACGCTGCCGGCCTCCCGCAGGACGAGCTTGGGGTATTTCTGCTGCCACTGCAAACCAGAGCGAGAATGAGTCTCAATTTTAGCCTTTGCAGAAGGATGTTTCTTTGTAAGCATTAGGGGAAATCTAAAAAGAAATAACTGTCGCCCGGCCAGCGTGGCACAGTGCTTGAGCGTGGACTCATGAACCAGGAGGTCAGGGTTCGATTCCTGGTCAGGGCACAGGCCCGGGTTGCAGGCTCCATCCCCAGTGGGGGGCTTGCAGGAGTCAGCCAATCCATGACTCTCTCTCATCATTGATGTTTTTGTCTTTCTCCTTTTCCCTTCACCTCTGAAATCAATAAAAATATATTTTTTTAAAAAAAGAAGATATACATTCATAGGACTGTACAGTAAATTTGATAATAGGCAGATGACTAAGCTTCAGGGTATTTTTGAACGGGGTGGGGAGGGAAGGGCACTTGTCGGTGAAAACGTAAAACGAATGAGCAGCTAAGAAGAACTGTGCTGGTCATTAGGGCTGTTTACCAAATAGTTCTGGACTTGTCCCCTGTCCCCCATGTAGAGTGACGCCCGCTGGCCCGTCGTGCAGGGTGAAGCCTAGGACCGCTTGCGCTCAATGAGGAATGATGGCTGTCACTTCTAGCCTAGAGCGTTTCATCGCCGGTGCCAGACCCCCCCGGAACCGTCTTCCCTTTGGCACCGTCACCAGCCGGCGGCTGCCTGAACTCCTCAGGGGCTGCTTTAACGGGGAGCGACTTCCCGCCGCACACACATGATGTGTGACATGAACAGGCAACATGGCCGGGGGAAGCCGCTGAGACTGAGGGGCTGCCTGTTACTGCGGCGTCACCGGGCCGACCCTGGCTGGTGTGGCAAACAGAGGCAGGAAGGAAGTCTCGGGAGGCAGTAGAAGCAGCAGAAGTCAGAGGCAGGTCTGAGTGGGGGGAAGTGGGGTAGCAGGGAAGCACAGTGGGCACGCCTTGCCTCTCGGTGTGCCCCTCTGAGGTGTGCGATCATGAATTTAAAGCGACACAGAGCGGAGTTGGACGGCACGCCCCTGGGGACGGCCTCGGAGGCTGTCGGGCACCCGTTTGGAATTCCCAGTTTCTAGCCCTCGTTTATCCAGGTTGGAAATGAAAACAGAAATATCTCCCTTTCCGTTTGCACAGCTCATGGAGGCGGCGGTGTGAACCAGTGAGCAAGACACAGAACCTTCTGGCGCCACGGCAGTCACTAGTTTTACCGCTAAACTGGTTCTCCTCGGAGCAAGTCCCCCAGGTGAAGCACCCGTCTACCTGGCAAGATAACTGAGGAGGAAGTGTCCCCACACGGTAACAATTCCAGTGTTACCGCCATGGGCCTTCACGCGAAGGATAAAGAAAATTAAGGGAATGCCCAGGAACTCTGTTTAGAACACACTGCTTCAGAGTGAGAGGAAGAATGGACAGAAGACATACGCACACACCACTCTTGCTGGTATTGTTCGATCTATACTGTAGCTGGAGACCATAGAAAATACATTTAACACAGGGGAACTGTAACTCTGAGGACCTGGGAAATTCACGTAACCATGAGGATCACATGTAAATACCACGACGTTTAAAACAGTGTTCTACTTGGAAGAGTGCATCGTGGGGAAAGAGAGAAATGTATCCAGAGCATAAGGATATTCATCCTATGTCTTATGATTAAAAACCGAACACGGAAATGCCCAGCAGCAGATTCGAAGGGAATTAGTACATCATTCATGTCGCGAAGTAGTAAAGTGACACACTTTAGAAGAATTTTTGTATCACTTTATGTAAAAAAAAAACAAAACACAAAACAACTATTTTACAAGAAATTGGTAACAAGATAATTAGGCAATCGGATCCTTTTTTCATTTCAAAAATGAAGATATGTAAACACTCACAAGAAAAAAAAAAAGATTTGGAGAAAAATATGGCCAAAAGTTTAGGGTGCTTATCTCTGGGGTAGTGAACTTGGGCATAATCTCAATTGTCTTCTTTAGATAGCTGTATGTTTTTCAAATTTGCAAAGATAAATGTAGGCAATTTTGACTATAATAAATACATATAAGAACAATGGGCTAATATCATCATTATCTCAAAAAGTAATATGCAAGAGAGAAAAAAACATCGAACCTGAATGCCCTCTCTTAATATTTATAGAATAATTAGATTAGTGCCAGATACATAAAAGTGCTGGATAGAGTTTGTTAATTTCTTCTTTAAATAGAACAGCGTGTAACTCTGGAAAAGAACTGAACATCCAGTAATTTAATATTAATTAATTCTATTCAACAAAACAGTTCACGTTCCGTTTTGGACAGTTACACGTAGGGCATCAGATACCGCACGGTAATTGGAACAGCCGTTGGCAGATTCCCAAATACCCGGGAAAAATCTTTTTCATTTAATCCCATTAAAGTTTTTCCAGGGCGTCTGCAGTCATGCAATTATATTAATAGTTGTTGGGCCACATAATATATTTCTTGAGATCTTCAAAACGACAAAAAAGATGATGATCATATCGTTTAATAAGCATTTGGAAAGGTACTTCAGATATAAATCGCCAACGTGCCAGGCCTTCATCGATGGCTGGACGATGTGGAACTCTAGGTTCTCTGGAGAATAGGTTTTGTATTCTCCCTACTTTACAGCCTCCTATGAAAATTCTCCTCCTTCCTCTCAGATCAAGGGATGCTGCTGAGAGAATGTTATCAGACAGAGCGGTCAGACATGGTGCTAAGTGAGTAAGAAACCAGTCCCCGGACGCGCTCCTAAGTGAAGCCCAGTGGAACTTGGCCTAGGGAGAGTGAAGAGTAAAATTTAAAACCTTCAAGGGTCTTGAGAAATGTCCTTCATTCAAAAGTCCCAGGATACATCAATCTGGTGGGAGTAGGGTTCTAAACTGGCCGTTCGTAGGTTCTCCTGGTAACACTTTACATCTTGCACTCCACAGAAATTCCCCCATGCTGGCCATGTTTTCCGTATCATTTTCCCTGCAACATGCTTATGGCTTGGCAGCCATCCCCTGACAAATGGGCTCTACTCTTCCGTGGCCCTGGAGTCTGGTGATGGCATGTGGTTTGCTACAAAGTGATACACAGAAGTATGTTCGTTCCTTCATTCATTTGATAGTTCTTACAAAATTATTTACAACTTAGCGAATATCCACTATGCACCAGACACTGTCTAAGGCAGTGACGGCGAACCTATGACACCCGTGTGAACTCATTTTTTTGGTTGATTTTTCTTTGTTAAATGGCACCTAAATATATAAAATAAATATCAAAAATATAAATCTTTGTTTTACTATGGTTGCAAATATCAAAAAATGTCTATATGTGACACCAGAGTTAAGTTAGGGTTTTTCAAAATGCTGACACGCCGAGCTCCAAAGGTTCGCCATCACTGGCCTAAGGTGTCATGAATACAATGATAACACAGGCTAGGCCCTGTGTGATAGCATCTCTCCGTTTAACAGGACAGACAGAAATATACACCGAAAGTTAGAGAAAGGCTTATCGCAGTGGACGTAGGAATGTACTGCTCTGGGGGCAGGAGATAAATAGTTAGGCAGGGGATCTGGAAAACCTTCATTTATTGAATCCATATTTATGGAGCACATACCATGTGCCAAGCACTAGGTACTGGGAAGACGGAGAGACCAAACCTTCTATACTCTCTCGGGGAGCTGTTTATATATACAAGATAGAAACAAATACTATATATAGCTTGCAACTCGTACAGTACTTAACTTATTTATCTAGTGCGTGCTTGTTTATTTCATAAAATATATAGCATTTGAGATTGTACTGCGTGCTGTGGGGAAACATAAAGCCCAGTAAGTCGGGCAGGGGAGTGGGAGGTAGGGCAGGGGAGCGAGGTGAAGGGCGCTGCTTTACACAGGGTGTCAGAAGGCGTCTCAGATCAGGCGAAGGCTGAACAGAGGAAGCAGGAAATGAGCAGACAAGCCCTGCAGATACCTAGGGCGGGACAGAGTGCCAGGCTGAGGGAACATTGAGTGCAAAGGCCTTGGGGCAGGAGTGTGCTTGGTTTGTTCCAGAAAGAGCAAGAATGCGTAGGAGGCGGAGGGAAACTCATGTAGAGCAAAACAAATCCCTAGAAACTGACAAAGGTATTTCTTTTTTTTCTTTCTTTTTTAAACATATATTATTGATTTTTTACAGAGAGGAAGGGAGAGGGATAGACAGTTAGAAACATCGATGAGAGAGAAACATCCATCAGCTGCCTCCTGCACACCCCCTACTGGGAATGTGCCCACAACCAAGGTACATGCCCTTGACCGGAATTGACCCCGGGACCTTTTAGTCCGCAGGCCGAAGCTCCATCCACTGAGCCAAACCGGTCAGGGCTGATGAAGGTATTTCAAAGGCCTTACCTGCTGATAGAACTCATCGTCTTTGGGGGTCAGATAAGGAAGCCACGTGTCTTCAAGCTCTTCGAACAGCCTCAGCTTCTGTTTAAAAATAATAATTATTATTGGTGACTGACTAGAACGTGACCCCAAATATAAGACAAGCCCTTATTTTCCAATGAGAGAGAGAGAATACCAGAAAGTAGTTAGCCGACTTGAATGTCTAAACTTTCTCACAGAGCCCGGCAGGTGTGGCCCCATGGAAACAGCCCCAGGCCCATCCCGCAGCCCAACAAGCACGGGTGGAGGCTGGAATTCTGTTTACAACTCAGACTCCAGCTAAAACATTACGGAAGCAACCACTTCTCAGCTCAGGTGAGGCCCGCGTTTCAGACAGATATAAAGCATTAGGATTTGGAAGGCTGCATTGAAACAATAAAATTCTACAAGGATGTTCACACTCCAGGGCAAGCAGGAGATCACTGATCTTCAGGCCTGTGGAATTTGAATGTTAACATGTGAGCATTGTTACACCAACAGGACGGGAGGGAATGGGGGTCAGGAAACCACACAGCGTGAGGCCACACGGGTGAAATCTGCTCTGTGCATCAACACTCACAACCTGCAACTGGACCGAATAACGCCCACGGTCAGTAATAAATAACAATATTTATCCACTTAAAAAGAACTTCTGGTCACATTTACTTTTGGTGAAATGGATCAGGAGTCAACAGCAGCTGACACTGGTCGTTCATGAACATCCCACATTTCTTCAAAATCAAGGCTGCCTTATAAAAGGGCAGAGTCACGGGCACGGCGATGGAGAAACGAGGCCTCCTCTCACTCTCGGGGGTGCACACAGTACCGTTCCCATCAACGTTCAAGCGCACGTTCCCTTTGCCCCAGAAATCCTACTTCTGGGATGTGTTTCTGGTACAGAGACTCGTACCGTGTTCGGGAGGATGTACGCACAAGCCACTCACCGGATCGCTGCTGGTAGAACGGGAGCTTGGAAACACTCTAAAAACCACTTCCGTGTGCACTCGTAAAGGTGGGTTTTACGGCAGGTGAATTAGACGTTGACTCAACAAAAAGATGAGAAACAATTCAAGTGTCTGTCCATAGAGGGTGGTTAAACAAACCATGTACATCCACATGGTCAAATGCAGGGAAAGACGGGGTTTACTGGGCAGTGAGGCGAGGGACAGACCCCTGCTTGAATGTGCCCACAGGAACATCAAGGACAGTGACAAGCTATTCAGGTGGTCACTGATCTGTAGGGGCGGAGGTGGGGGATGGCGAAAGGGGACAGGGGTGGAGCGAGACCATTCAAACTATTCCGTTTTATAGTGCCTTGGCTTTGAACTACATGAACATATGGCCTATTCAGCATATTACCTAATAGCAACTCAGACGTATGACCCATTCATTCTTAACATGACATGCAGTATAAAGATGATTTTGGACTTAGTCTTAGAAAGTGCATACTCTGTGAGATACAATGAAATATTGAGGGGGGGTGAGGCGCAGTGGGGGGAGCCATCACAGACTACATAGTGAAGAGGGGGGAAACAGCTCAGACCATTTCTTTGTGCCCCATGCCCACCAGCTGGCAAACACACACCACGTGGAAATGCACCGGGGAGTGGAGTAGAAGGCCCTCGTGTTTGGCTGTCAGCTCTGGCTCCCCGGCCTGGTGTCCAGATAAACACACACAGCCGGCCCCACGGCACACTGCTCTGCTCACACGGCCTCGCTGTCCACTCGTGTCAAATACGTCAAGCTGCTCGTGGATGCCACACGTAAAGCCAGAGAAGATTCAGGCCTCGGACCTCCCGCGGGCAGGCGGAGCATGTGGAGTCCCTCCCAGGCGGCCTGTGCCCACCTCCACAGCTCTGGCAGGCAGGCGGGACACAGACACGAGACAGGAAGGAAAACCCATGAACTGTGTGCGAGGATGGAGGTGTGGGCCTCGTTCCCCATACATACACATGTGCCTAAGCATCACGTTTTAGACCTTACACGTAAACAATGTTACATGTTCATTGTATCTCAGTGAAGCTGGGGAGGAGGGGGGGAGGATGTTCTCTAACAAAATCGAATTAAATATCGAAAATAAAAATATATATCTCGAAACTCCCCAAATATCTGGTCGAAGGAGAAACCACACAAGAAATTAGGAAAGTTTTAAAATGAATAAAAGTGAAAACGAAACATTTAAAAACTGTCTAGGTTGCAGCTAGAGCAATATTTACAGGGAAATTTGTAACACTAATGCCTGTATTAACAAGAAAAATGATTTCAAATCAATGACCTCCGCTTCCACCTGAAGAAAATGAAAAAAGAAGAGCAAATGAAATCCAAAGCAAGCAGGTGAAAGAAAATTATAAAAGAGCTGCGTAGGAATCAATAAAATAGAAAGCAGAGAAGAAAATCAATGAAGCCAGAAGCTAGCTCCTGGAGAAATGTAAAATCTCTGGCCAGATTGATAAGGAAAAAAGCACACTGAAGCCTCAATATACCAACTGAAAGCATAACAGGAGATATTATGAACTTTATAGCAATACGTTTTAGAACTTGGACAAAACAGAAAATCTCGTTGAAAGATACAAATTATCTCAAGAAGGAGATAATCTGAATAGCCCTCTATCTAATAATGAAATTGAATCTGTATCTTAAAAACTGCCCACAAAGAAAACTCCACGCACAAAACCTTCACTATGGAATTCTACCAACCATTTCAGAAAGCTCCAATATCCATCTGCATAAACTCCTGCAGAAAATGAATGAAATGCAATCCCCAAACCAAGCAGAATTATCACAACAAAATTACAGACCAATATCCCCTTGGGAATAGGAGTACACAAGCTATTAATAAAATCTTAGCAAATGGAATCCAACAACACATAAAGAGGGTAATAGATCATGACCGGGTATTATCCCAGAAATGCCAGGGTGGTTTTCACATTTGAACATCGACAGAATTTTTCATATTATCAGGCTCAGAGGGAAAAACCGCAGGGTCACTGAATTCCTGCAGCAAGGACATGAGTCAGTGCCCAACGTCGGTCCTGGAGAAGTTCTTCACCCTGATAAACAGGCCTGTGAACCACACAGCTAACATCAGACCAAGTGGGGAGAGCCTCAAAGAGTTCATCGTACGATCAGGAAAAAGGCAACGACGCCTGCTATCACCCCTCGGAGCAAGACTACTTAAGAGGAAAGGCAGAAGCAGGATGGAGAGGGTCACTGGGGGAAAAAATTTGAGACAGCTTTAACACTTTCAACAATAAAGATTAAAAAAAAAAAACAGATTGTACTGAAGGTTCTATCTAGGCAGTGTAATACGGCCAGAAAAAAGAAATAAAAGGCATCTAGACTAGGAGAAATACAGAATAGATAAAACTGTCTTTAGCCCTGGCTGGGTGCCTCAGTTGGAGTGTCATCTCATACATCAAAAGATTGTGGGTTCAATTCCCAGTCAGGGCACACACCTAGATTGTGAGTTTGCTCCCCAGTCAGGGTGCATAGGGAGGCAATTAATCGACCTTTCTCTCTCACATCAATATTTCTCTCTCTCTCTCTTTCTCTCCCCCTTCTTCTCGCTATAAAAGAAAAAAATTAATAAAAACACATATCCCCGGGGTGAGGATTAAAAACAAAACAAACAAACAAAAAAAACTGTCTTTATTTGCATATGCTATAAGTACCTGGAGAGAAAATCCTACAGAATCTACAAAAAAAACAATTAGAACTAATACTTTCAGCAAGGTTGCAGGATACAATTTACAGCAAGGGCAGCAAGGTTGCAAGGTCAATATACAAAAATCAGGTATTTCTACATACTAGCAACCAACTATCTGAAATTAAGCTTTTTAAATAACACCATAAACAATAACATCAAAAATGATAAAGTACTTAGGGATAAACCTAACAAAAGATTTTCCAGTTTAGTATTTTTAAAAATTCCAATAAAACATTGCTGAAAGAACTTAAAGAAGTCCTAAGTAAATGAAAAGATTAACTATCTTCATAGATCTGAAGACTCAAGGTCAAATTGTCCCCAAATTGATGCAGTCCCAGTCCAAGATCCCTGCAGGCTCTTTTGTAAAAATTGGCACACTGCTGAAATTCATATAAAAATGCCAAGACCTGAAATGGCCAAACAACTTTGGAACAGAAGAACACGTTGAAGGACTTCACTAATTATAAAACAACAGAAATCAAGACAAGTGTGGTACTGGCATAAAAGTAGACAAATATATAAATGAATACCAGAGAATCCAAAAATAGGCCCACCTATTTGTGGTCAGTTGATTTTTGACAAAGATTCAAAGTTAATTCAATGGAGAAAGAAATTTTTTTCAACAAATACTACTTGAAGAATTAGATATCCATATTTTTTTAAATTTAATCCACATCTTGTACCATATATAAAAATTAACTCTAAATGAATAAATATATCAATGCAAAACCTAAAAATAAATGTAAATATAACAGCTAAATTAAAATATTAGTAGAAGAAAATGGGAAATTCTTTTGAGTCTTTAGGTTAGGCAAGGCAACGTTTTTTTAGATATGAAACCAAAAACATAATCCATAAAAGAAAAACCAGTGATAAACTTCACCAAGAACTTCTATTCTCAAAACTCTCAAAGCCAGAACTCTTAAGCACTGCTCTTACGAAAATAAAATGGTCCAACCACTTTGGAAGACAATCTGCCAACTTCTCAAAGAGGTCAGACAGGTACCTACAACATGGCAGCTTATATCTGTGCACAAAAATGTGCACATAAATGTCCACAGGAGCTGTATTTGTAATTGCCAACAACTGCAAACAACCCAGATATCCATCAAATGAATAAAAAAAAAATTCGTAGCATATTGAATAAATAAAAAAAAAGAAATCGTGGTATAGCACCCAAAAAGTCACTACTCAGGGATAAAAAGGAAAGAATTGTGGGTATATACAACTATATGAATGGATTTCAAAATCACTATTCTAAGAGAAAGAAGACAGGCCAAAACAAAGAGTGCCTACTGTTTTATTCCGTATTAGCAAAATTCTAGAAAATGCAAATTAATCAACAGTGACAAACAGC